TATTTTTATTACCACAAGTAAATCGAAACATAACGTCTTATTGCAACAACAAAGACTTTTAATACAATTGAAACAGAGTAAAAAGTGTAGTGAAATTATAATGCCAAAAACAAATTTATTTCCTCTTGTTACTCTCAGATTGAAACAAGAAGTTCTAAACAACTGTGGCAACAAGATTGATTATTTCGCAGACATTTACAAGGTTGACTTCACTAGTGATTTGAAGGTTATAATCTAACCACATTGCATTTTCTGATCCACATCATGAGTCCAAACAAAATCGGTTGTTTTTCCTCCTAGATGATTCCTCGTAGTTTCCAAGATGATTCCTCGTACTCTCTTGATCTTGAGCAAGATTCTTATCCAAGTTGAAGTAATTTTCTCTTTCTTCAACCAAATCTCATCTTGATACGTGTTATATATCCTTGCTTTTAAGTATATTACTAGGTTATATTCGCGGGTTTAAATTAATCTTTAACTAATGTACCTTTAAGCTCTGCTAATTTTCAGTGATGTTAACTTAAACTTGGTGTATGCAAAACTTTCTTAAATCTTTGCCTTTAATTTTCTTGAGTTTTATTTCCTTTCCAGATTAGCTCCCGTATCATCTTATTGAAAGAAGAAGAAAGATGATTCGATTCAAGATCTTGTGATGCTTCTAAACCAAAGTGGCAACAAGATTGATTCTTTGACACACATTTACAAGGGTTTAAAAATAAAAATAAAAAAATTCATAGAGTGTTGTATGATTTTAATGTGCCTCACCGATGCTACCCCTTTGGCCTGTAGTTAATAATGTAACCGCGTTGAATTTTCTACTCCGCGTTAACAAGAGTACTTTCAAGGTTAACTAACTTTTGATTTTGTTGCTATATATCCCACTATCCAGTGCCTTAATTCTCTTGTCTTGAGCAAGATTCTTAAACAAGATTTGAGGTAAATTTCTATTTCTTCAACCCAATCTCATCTTGATATGTGTTATCATCTCTTGGACCTTCCTTTTAAGTATTACTAGGTTATATTGGCACCATGGGGATTAAATAAATCTTAATTTTTTTGTGATTGCTAACTTTAAACTTCGTGTATGCAAAACTGTCTCAAATCTTTGCCTTTGAATTTTCTTTTTTGTTTGGTTGGTTTTCCTTTCCAGATTAGCTCCGTATAATATCAATGGCGGGTCAAGGAGGCAAGACTGAAGACGAGGTCTACAAAGGTCTGGTTGACCAAATCCAAGATGTGTCCACGTTCATTACTGAAAACAGAGAACATGTATCGGAGAACGAAGAACTAGCGTCTATGGTTCCTCTCTATTTTGAGAATATCACCAAGACCTTGAATTTATTCAAGATGAACAAGTGCACGGACGAGTTCGAGACTCAGTACAAGTCTGTCTACAAGGAGCATGTTATGCTTCTAGTCATGATCTGTGAGCTGGAAGTAGTGCTCGAGAAGAAGCGTAAGCGTGCAAAGATAGGGAGGAGAGTGGCGATTGGTGTGTTCGGGACTATGTTTCTCTCTGTTGTTGCCTTAACGGTCCTAGCCCCATCAAATCCGTACGGAGCGGCTACCAATGCAGGGGAAAAAGCCGTTGAGTCGTCCAAGAAGCTCGCTGGCCTGCTGAAGAAATATGAGAATTCTAAGGAGGCGCAGATAAATTTGTGTCGGTTGATTGAAAACAGAACACAAGTCAACATTAAAGCGATGAGGGTGATTAAGGAAAATTGTAAGTGGTAAATATCTATCAATGTATTTATTATACTTTTATATTGATGTTTGTTGTGTGCAAGGCCCATATTTTGAATGTTTGAAACTTTGAATAAATGAATTACTTTGTACTTGTTTGATCACTGCATTGGATTCTAATCCGAATACTATATGTTACTGATAAAAATTAATCGAAACTGACCGCTTTATTACAACAACAAAGATGGAACTAAAGACCGTTTCATACAATTGAAACAGAGTAAAGACCGTTTAATACAAATTGAGACAAAATTATAACTGCCAAAAAAAAAACAAAGCAGT